GTGGCCCATGCCTGCAGAGTTCAGGCAGGCTGTGGGACCAACACAGCTGTTTCCTTTTTGTGTATGAACTGTACTTGATTTAACACACTCCCTATTGAAATGCAATCAGATTATTTCCAGTTTTTCCTTTTGTCTTATTTTGTCTGCTTTGCAGACTGCCCTCATACGTGTACCCTGACATTTTTCTTTTTGACAGGCAGAGTGGACAGTGAGAGAGACAGAGAGAAAGGTCTTCCTTTGCCGTTGGTTCACCCTCCAATGGCCGCCGCGGCTGGCGCACTGCGGCCGGCGCACCGCGCTGATCCGATGGCAGGAGACAGGTACTTATCCTGGTCTCCCATGGGGTGCAGGGCCCAAGCACTTGGGCCATCCCCCACTGCACTCCCGGGCCACAGCAGAGATCTGGCCTGGAAGAGGGGCAATCAGGACAGAATCCGGCGCCCAGACCAGGACTAGAACCCGGTGTGCCGGCACCACAGGCGGAGGATTAGCCTATTGAGCTGCGCTGCCAGCCTACCCTGACATTTTATTCAGAGTATCCATGGGACGGATCTCCAGCAGCAATATTACTGAGTCAAAAGAGTCATTGGTCTTCTCTTTCACTTAGAAAGGCTAAGGAAAGATACTAGTCAGCTGAAAAGGGGCTATTTATGCAGAAGTGTCTCTGGCTTGGCGTTATTGCTTGTCTTTGCAAAAGAGGTGGGAGAAAGAAGATGTGAAAATGGAGGCAGGGGAAGAATACAGAGAGAAGGAGGTGTCAACCTCCAGACAGGAACATTAAATGTTCTCCTGTACTCAAGTGCCTTGACAAGCAGCTACTATCGGGACCATACTGTTGATGTGAAAACCAATACCCTCGTTTCTCAAACTTTAGCAGCATCATAATCACCTGGAGAGCTTCTTACAACATGCGCTTCTGAGTCCCAGGGTCTCTGATCCACCAGGTCTGGCATAGAGCCCGAGAACGTACATTTCTCTTTTTTTTAGAAATCTTTTATTTAATAAATTTCATAGGCACGGTTTTAGAATATAGCAGTTCTTCCCCCCATACGTGCCCTCCCACCCCCACTCCCGATCCACCTCCTACTCCCTCTCCATCCTATTCTTCATTAAGATTCATTTTTTATTAACTTTATATACAGAAGACCAACTCTATACTAAGTAAAGATTTAAACAGTTTGCACTCACATAGACACACAAAGTATAGAGTACTGTTTGAAGACAATTTTACCATTAATTCTCATAGTACAACTCATTAAGGACAGAGGTCCTACATGGGGAGCAAGTGCACAGTGACTCCTGTTGTTGATATAACAATTGACACTCTTATTTATGACGTCAGTGACCACCCAAGGCTCTTGTCATGAGCTGCTAAGGCTATGGAAGGAGAATGCACATTTCTATCAAGTTCCCCACGTTGATGCCGTACGGCTGGTTCAGGTGCTGCACTTTGAGGCCACTGAGGAGATTGCTGCTCAAGGCAGCAAGAGGTGGTCCAGGGTGATCCAGTCGGCCAGTGTCAACACGTGGGTTGACCTGATTTTATTTGCTCCAAGCCTGTGCTAACTACTCTGCTGTGAGACTCCTCACCCTTGGCTCACATTCGAAGCATGCGAGGATCTTTGAAAATGCTGATTCCCAGGCTGACCCTGACCAGTGATGTCAGAATCTTTAGGAGGACCCAGGCATCACTTGCAGATAAAGCAGGATCTCCTCACTTCACCTATCCTCACTGTGGGCTTCACTGGCTTCAGACACAGAATAGGGAGTTTTCCCAATAGGTATTATACATTCAAACATGCAAACATTGGCCCACAGATATAAGAGTGTTACATGAAGAAGGTATGTATTGACGGTGGTACTTGAAGACTTTGCTGCAGACTTCATTCTAATTTTAGCGTCACATCTCTTCCCAAGGCTACACCAAGGTGGCAGAAACAACAGGCAGGAACACAAGCTGTCCAAAATGTTCCATGGCAGTCCCTGTTCTCTGTCTCATCTCCACGGCCCATGCCTGTAATGACAGTGTGATGTAGAGCCTGTCTCTAGGAATCTTGTCATCATTCCCATTGTGACGTGGAGGCCACGGTTTGAACTAGACAAGGAGATTGCCTCTTTTGGTTAAAGAAAGGCAGCCTTTTTCCAAGATCTTTCTCCCACTTATCTATGGTATTTCAATGATTGACAAACAGACAAAAATATATTTATTTAGGGATTATCTATATTGAAAACTGGACATGGGATTTCTTTCTCTGTCAACATTGCAGTAATATCAGCTGTTTGAACAAAAGGAGAGGTATTTTTCTATCCAAGCCTGAGTGCTCAGAATTCTCCAGTTTATATTCAGAAAGACATTTGGTTTTATTGATCGTGTTAGCTGAATAAGTTTAAAGTCCTATAGCCAGGCAAGGAGAAGGTTGATTTTCTCTTTATTGTAAAGGTTATTAGGAGGAAATCAGATATGGAAGTTATTTGTCTTTGGACGATCCTGTAGAATCAGAACCACTCAAATATGTTCCAGAAATTTTGTTCAAAGCCCATGCTTTTATTGTTTAGAGTACCATGGTGTTTCTTTGGGGAATACTAATTTTATTTTTTTCTTTAAAGATTTATTTTTGTTTGCTTGTTTGTTTGTTTGTAAGAGAGAGGGAGAGACAGATAAATATACCTTCCATCCACTGATCCACTCCCAAAATATCACAACAGCCAGAGCTGGGCCAAGCCAAAGCCAGGAGCCAGAAACTCCATCCTGGTGTCCCACATGGATGGCAGGGGTCCAGGGATGTGAGCCATCTTCCATTCCTTTCCTACCTTCCCAGGGGAACTAGCAGGAAGCTGGACTGGAAACAGAGTAGCTGGGAGTGTAATTGGCACTCCAAAGCGGGATGCCAGCATTGCAAGCAAAGGTTTAATCCATTGCACCACCACATCAGAACTAATTTCATTTTTAAATACTTGACTTGTTTAAAAACGTGCTTTGTTGATGACAAAGGAGGTCTACACTTTGCTTCTTTAAATTAATATGAAATTTTAAAACTCCACTAACAGACCGGGAATTAACAGGCCCTGCTTAGATTTTCTGTAACCCAGAGTCCCTTGCAAGAAACAGCAGCATTTTCTGGGCATCCTTCACATCAGCAAAACCAGCATCTGCAACATTAGGTAAAGATGACTCTCGTTTTTGTTGCCTCCCTTTCTGGTCTCTCCTCTGGTCTCAGATTTAAGGGAAGAAGCCAAATCTCACAGTCACTACTCAAAACTAATGGTGGTTTTCTTTGGAGAAAAAGTTCAGACATCAGGAAAAAAAAAAAAAAAAACTCCTCTCCTGAGTGTTGTAGCCATTCTCTAACTCATCAGTGAAAATGAGGGAGAGAAAGTCTCACTCAGAGTGTTGCCCTATAGTAGTGAGAAAAACAGGGCACCGCCAAGCAGAGGGATCCCTCCCCATCAGTAATAAGCACTCCTGTTTCTTTCAGGAATGTTCTTTCCTTCGAAGATTTTAGACGTTTACTCTTTGGTAGGATTATATGGATCCAAAGGATAGCTCTTTCCTTGCTTTCCGAGAAAAACGATATGACTGATGGAAGTGACCACAAATAGTTTTTTTTTAAATGAAGTTATGCAAATCTGATAGACTAAAGTAAATGTTTCATAAAACCAATGACTGTTTAAATTGTAGGACTAAATTGTTTGTATATAAATATTACCTTTTATATTCCATTTGAGTTTTATGTAGATGAACACATTACTTTAATGACCTGCATTTACGGAGGGAGAGTGGGAGCATGGCTCCCTGAAATTCTCACCAGCCAGATGGCTGCCTTTTCTTGCATGAGATTAAAAGATGTTTCTCATTCGCCGCGATGCTTCTGAGGCAAATTAATATTGCCAGCTAAATTGCTTGTGTTTTTGGAATAAAATTTAAAGAGAACTTTTTAAAGCAATTGGTGTCACAGGTTCTCGGAGCAGATTGCTCTCCAGGTAGAGAGACATGCGGTAATTAATGGAAAGAATTCTGTGTTAATTGACTGCTTCAGGAAGGGAAATATAATGACTCCTTATTAATCATGAAAAGAGATGTACAGCATGGAGGCACCACAATAATTGCTCTAACAGTGGAGAAATGTTAATTAATGAAAAGAACAATGATGTAAGAAATTAGCTGCATAATGCTTGCGGCCGATGGAGGCTGGATTTTGGAACACATTATTTCAAGTGGGAACCACAAAATGTTGCCTTAAATAACAGATACGAGGAATCTCTTACCCACTTGAATTTTAAAATCTGACAATGCCCCTGAAATATTTGCTTGAAGAAGCAAAAAACATTTGCCCAGAGGCTCTGTTTCTTTCAAAGAACATGGCCTTCATTCATCTCTCATCTGGGCTTCTAAAGGCAAATTTATCCCCAGACCCAAATCTATTAATGTCATTTCATTTAATTTCGACACCGTAGGTCATTCTGACTGCTAAGGAACAAAGGCAGTAGAAAAAAATAAAATTATCCCTAAATTTAAATAAACAAATTCAATTTCTAATATTTCCCAGCTAACATAAAGGCAAAATTCAGTTTCACTTTGGGAACAGAGTGCCTTTTGTTAAAAATCTAACTTTAAGTCCCTGGCTGAACAGCCAGCTTCCTCTCCAACTCACAACTCATTTTCCGAAAAGGGAAGTCAGGTTTATTAACATGCAGAGGCACTGTCAGAGCTCAGTCCCGCAGCGTAAAGAGCCACTCAAAATCATTAGTGGCCACAGGCCAAAGCCGCCGTGATGACTCCACTGTGCCTGGCGAGCTCCCAGGCGCGTCCTTCCCATCATTTGCATGATGTAAAGAGCGACACTGCAAGGACCAGGGAGCTGAAGGGCAGAAAGTCACCAGTGTTTTTGCACAAGCCCAGCTACCAGGGTGCTCAGGGCTGATGGAGTAGCTGCTCTCTCTGCAGCTTCCCAGCAGGTAAGGAAACTTTCCGCTGACTGTGCCTTCGCTCCTCCCTCCAGGTGGAATGTCCTGGGACTACAAGGCGCTCTCCTCTGTCACTTCATCGAGCCCGTGTACCTCCACAGCATCGTCGTGGGGAGCCTACACCACACGGGCCACCTCTCCCGGGTCATGAGCCACAGGATGGAGGACATCGGCCAGCTGCCCACCTCATACCGGCACAACCGACCCCTTCTCAGTGGTAAGAAAACCCTGTCTTGAGGGACCCAACGCCACCATCCCAAAAGCACGCCAGCAGCGTACAGGCCCCAACAGAGCCACCTGTTGTAACCAGCGACTCTTTAAGACTTCATGACAATCCGAAGACTTAAGAAAGCAAAGAGGTGAAAGGTTACAGTGCATCTGTGAGCATAGGAAGGGTATTATTATAAATTCATAACAGGACCTAGCTCATCCCACATCACTGGGTCATTTTCCCTGCAGTGTCTGCATAGCCAGTTAAAAAGGAAAAGGCTCTGTTAATGAGGCAGGTGGCAAGAGGACCTGGCGCACCCTCCTGGTGCTGCTCTACCAGAGACATTGCTGGTGGAGATGCAGGGAGGAAGAAATGCAGAGAACAGGAAGGAAGGTGGGAGCCAGGTCCAGGCGGCTGGAGCAGGGCCACTAGAACCAAGGGTCCCAGTGCTTCTTGCAGTAGGGCCTGGAGGGACACACATCTCAGAGGCAGTGAGGTGGCTCAGCCAGCACTGAAGTGGACCACAATTCCTGTCTTCCACAGAGCCCAAGTGCCTGCCCTTAGAGATCCCTAGGCCTTCCCAAGTCTCCCAGCACACACCTACATTACATGGGGAGGCCCAGCCAGGCCACTTGACACAGGGTCAGTTGTGAAATCAAGGGTCACCTAACCACGCAAACACTGAGGAAGCCGTGAGCTTCCATGTCCACCAGCTGTTTGCTAGCATGTTGGAAGGATGGCATTTATCCGCTGTGACCATTAGACTTCCACATTAAGGAAATTCTAGGGATGGGGAAACTGCAAGCAGAGGGAAGGAACACTGAGATTTTAACAACACCCCTAAAGCCTCATCTTGGAGCCCGGAAGAACGCATTAGATCTTGGTGTTTGCTTCCCTGGCTGGAGTAGGAGAGAGAAATCTCCCAAGAGCTGCTCATGGCAAAACCAGGCAGATATGTTGAGGAAGCAAGGAGACTGCTTCTGCCTGAGGAGCACACCTTCCTTGTTCCAAGGGCAAAAAATAAACAAATAAATAAATAACACCCACAGCTTTGCTGGTTTAAGTCACACCAAATCCCCCAGGGGAAAAGAAAAAAATAAAAACCAATAAAATGAAACAGCTGAGAGCAGTTGGGCTTAACGATTTATTCCCAGGATTCTAGAATTGTTCCAAATTATAAGATCAGAGGTAAAATAGAGCCTCATGGGAGCAGTAGTAGGAACTAAAAAAAAAAAAAATAGCACAGAGGAAAAGGTAACTCCTGCCACAGAAGTAACTCCAAGCTTGTCCGTTTGTTCTACAATATTCACCAATTAAATACTGAAAATCTTCTGTGTACTGTTGTGGAAAATAGGATCACAGACCTTAAAATTAAAATAGAGACAGCAGAGGGGTTCTCCCCAATGTGTACCCCTGTACCCCTGTACCCCAGTTCCTCAACATCTTCGAATTCCGGGATTCCTATTCTTAAGATTGATTCCGAGAGCCTCTGCCAAGAATCAGGTTTTTGTTAGCGTTGTGGAGGATTTTGTGGCACTCAGGTAGTCAGCTAAAAATCAACTCATTTGGACTTTACCTCCTGCTCCAATCTACAGATTCTTGCTCCATTACAGAGGCTTGCAAATGTCCAGTGAAGGAGGACTTGACGTCAAAAGTTAGCGAACTTCAGCAAGGCTATTTAAAAGAGGGTAATGTTGTTTAATCCGGGAATGCTAAGTACTTGTTTGTTTATTTTGACTTCACCTCTCAGTGAACAAACATTGATTTACAAATATTAACAAGACAGGATGACACCTACATGCTGATGGCAGTGTTACCCAAATTGCATTTTCTCTTAGTCACTATCATGTTGTCCCCATAAGCCCCACTTCTGTCCACAGGTCACTGGCTCTTTCCCTCAACCCCAAGACAGAGGATAGATAGAGTAGGGTCTCAGCCACTAACTGAGAGGTTAGTGCATGCTGGACAGATTTTAGTTCATCTCACAGGTCCAAGCTATAATCTGCTTCTGTAAGCTGTGTGCAGAGCTCCAGGGTCCTGGAACTGGAACAATAATAGCTGATGGGCAATGAACAGCCTTTGGCCGGTTTTCTTGGGCTTGAGAGATGAGAGAATTCAGAGGGGCTTGGTTTGAGTGGTATAGTTATTAAAAAGTACAGAAGGCCGGCGCTGCGGCTCAATAGGCTAATCCTCCACCTTGTGGCGCCGGCACACCGGGTTCTAATCCCGGTCGGGGCTCCGGGTTCTGTCCCGGTTGCCCCTCTTCCAGGCCAGCTCTCTGCTGTGGCCAGGAGTGCAGTGGAGGATGGCCCAAGTGCTTGGGCCCTGTACTCCATGGGAGACCAGGAGAAGCACCTGTCTCCTGCCATCGGATCAGCGCAGTGTGCCGGCTGCAGCACGCTGGCCACGGCGGCCATTGGAGGGTGAACCAATGGCAAAGGAAGACCTTTCTCTCTCTCTCTCTCTCTCTCTCTCCCCCTGTCCACTCTGCCTGTAAAAAAAAAAAAAAAAAAAAAAAAAAAAAAAGAAAGAAAAGAAAAAAGTACAGAAGCCTCATTTAAAGAATGGCTCTAACATTTAGAGAAGGGAAGTAACCCGGGTTGAGTGGGGATTCCCTCCCAATGTCAAGTGTATGACGTAGCCCAATCAATCCTGACACCAACCAACAGCAATTGGTATTATCTCCATTTTAATAATATGGATACAGACTCACAGAAATTAAATACCTTGCTTAAGAAGCTTGAGTTATCACTAGGAAGCAAAGATTTGAACTCAGATCTGACTGATTGTAAATCCCAAATGCTTTCAATGTACCACACTGCACCCTGTGGCAGTGAGGCATAATTTCTTATGACAGATGTCTTTCTTTACTCACATAAAAACTAATCACGCAAAACAAGAGCAGCTGAAGAAGAGACGCAACATCTGATTAATGGAGAATTGGTGTGCACGAGGCAAATCAACCCATTGAAGCTTGTCTAAAACTCTTAGCTGCCTAAGAGTTCACTCACACTAGCTGAGATAACCACTATGATTCGTGTATTGCCAGGCGAGGAACTGAAAAAAAAAAATTGCTTCACATTTGAGGTCTACAAAATGATTTATTAGGTATTTAATTATTGTTGGAGAGGTACAGAGAGAGAGAGAGAGAGAGAGGGAGAGAGGGAGAGGGAGAGGCAACAGAGAGTGCTCATGCACTTGTTCACTCCTCAAATGCCCGTAACAGCCGGGACTGTGTCAGAGTGAAGCTGGAACTGAGACCTCAAGCAGGGAATTCAGTCGGGGTCCCCACCCTGTGAGTAGCAAGGACCCTACTGCTGGAGCCATCACCTGCTGCCTCCCAGGATGAGCATGGGAGGAAGCTGGATCTGGGAGCCAAAGCCGAGACTCAAACCCAGGTTCTCCATTGTGGGATGCGGGCGTCTTCTTAGGAGTCGATGTGGGATGCGGGCGTCTTCATAGGAGTCTAACTCCTGGGTTATTCTTTAAGCGATACAGAATTTCAGTAACTCTTTTCTTAAAAAATATCATTTTGGGCCCAGTTTCAACTTCCGTCTTTCCTTTTTCCTCTTTTTTCTTTCTCTTGTTTTAAGATTTATCTGAAGCCGGCGCCGCGGCTCACTAGGCTAATCCTCCGCCTTGCGGCACCGGCACACAGGGTTCTAGTCCCGGTCGGGGCGCCGGATTCTGTTCCGGTTGCCCCTCTTCCAGGCCAGCTCTCTGCTGTGGCCCAGGAGGGCAGTGGAGGATGGCCCAAGTGCTTGGGCCCTGCACCCCATGGGAGACCAGGATAAGTACCTGGCTCCTGCCATCGGATCAGCGCGGTGCGCTGGCCGCAGCGCGCCGGCCACGGCAGCCATTGGAGGGTGAACCAACGGCAAAGGAAGACCTTTCTGTCTCTCTCTCTCACTATCCACTCTGCCTGTCAAAAAAAAAATTAAAAAAAAAAAAAGATTTATCTGAAGATGTGGCTGAAGAGCAAAAACAGCTCTGGGTAGACCTCAAAAAAGACCAAAAACCACTGGTTTGGAACTAAATGAAAATGTTCCCGTATTGGGCACCCCAAAAATTTCAGTAAAGTTCTTTAATTTCTAAGTCAAATTGGAAGAGAGCTTCTTTTCCGATGAGTGTCAAGTGCTCTCTTATTTTGTACTTCCGGTTCCCTCAGTTGTCCTCATTCTTCTGTTTGCAGAATCTAGAAGAATTTATTTAAACTTCATAAGCACAAGGAAATTAAAAAAAATACAAACACCATTGTTCTTACCAAACCGCTGTCCAGGGAGACGTCTTCATCTACCTTTTGAATACTAGCATATTTCTTCCCGGGAATCTAGCTTCTTTTCAATATTCTTTTTAAGTTATATGTTCATCTGGGAACATGTCAACATAAATAAAAGCAGGAATTTTGAATCATAAATGTGGAAGTAGTGAATTTTAAAAAATAATAAACAGATAAATTCAAAACCACCTGTTGTCACTGAGTACCATAAGACACCTGAGACATCTTATCCAACCCCTACCCCAAATGATATCTACCCCTACCCCAACAAGTACAATCTGACTAGACATTTCAGTCTATATTATGTGATGGCTTAGAATGTGATTTTTATTGTTGTGGAGATGCAAATGAGCCTAAACTTCTGTATCTCACTTGCATGCAACCCCTAAGCAGTAACTGCATTGCCCATCTGATGGACAGTTAATGTAGATTTTTAAAGAAAGTCGTGATTTCTTGCAACAAAACAGAGAAAGATCCTGAGTGGGGATAACAGTAAAAACAGTCAGACAAGCAAATGAAATTCTCCTGGGGCGTCCCTCAAGGTCAGTTTGCGGAATTGCCTTAGAAGATGAAGTTTACCTATTAGTAGGATGAAGCACTGCAATTTAGATACGGCTAAATCAGTTCTGGGTTACAAAGATCAGCCAAGCTGAAAAAGATACCCTTATTGGCACAATGAGAGGATGCATATAAATGTTGAAAAATATGCTTGAAACATTCTGCACAG